GTTTTGTCTTTAAATTCATTTTTTGTGGCAATGTTCTTGAAAGCCGAACAACAGGCACGTTTTGGCATGCCCTCAAGCTGGGGGGTGGCACGGGGGAGGCTGGCAACACACAATACAGCGCCACGCACCACAATGTGCCTGAGTGGGCGAATGTGTCTGTGTGTGTGTGCTGTGTGCTGTGTGTATCTGTAAAGAAAGCAAAAGGAAAAAAATAAACAAAAGCTCTGCCTCGTCCATTGTTTGCTTGGGCATGTACCAACACACACACACGCACACACACACACGCACACACACTCTCTGAAAGGTGGTTCAACATTTCATAATTTTCTGCGCTTTCTTTTGCTCAAAACAAAGCAAAGAATTCGCTTACCTTAGCGGCCACGACGCGTATACGTAATGAAATATTCGCTGCGTATACGTAATGTTATTTGGTCCGGTCTGATCCCACAAATTGTATGAATAATAATAAAAACAAACGCGAAATTGGCTCCTCAAGTGAAACGAAATCAAATTAGACAACAACAAAAAATGGAAAAGAAATAAAGTTCTGACTTTTCGCGGGAACGAGAGAGGAGAGCAGACCACAGAGGAGACAGAAGAGAGCAGCGAACCGAGTGGAGCAGCTCTTTGGTGGCTCAGTACAGCGGAGCAGCCACAGGCCCAGTGCCGACAATTTGTCAATTGACGCGCAGCCAGGCGCTGGCAGCTCCTTCCGCTCGGCTTGCCCTCAATGCCCCACGTCCAGGCGAATGCCAACCAAGTCAATTTTCATGGCAAGTTTTTACTGCAGTCCATCCATACGACTGGCCGTCCTCTGGGCACGGTCTTTAGAGCCGTTTTTGAGTCCATCTGCCTGGAATAAATACATTTTGCCGCCAGCACCTTGCACTCCCTTTTGCTGGTCGCTGGTTCCCGGCAACGATCATTGCCGTCTAATTGAGAGCACTTTTCCGGGCAGCGCATCGATGGAAGACAGCAACAGTCCCTGAACAGTCCTGCCCATCGAGGGCCACAAAGAAGCGCGCACAATTGTGGTTTCGCGACCATAATTAATGCCTACAACTTCAGTTCTCTACACCCAAAAGTTGCCCCATTTGGCTTGGTTCCACCTTCTCTTGGGTCGATTAATCGCATTGGTTTCGACCACCCTTTGTGGTCACGCCGTGCTGTTTATTGGCCACTGTTGCTGCTGCTAATTAGAAGTCGAAAACGGCACAATTAATTCCAGTTCCAGGGCAAACAATTTGCATGCACTTTGCAGTTCTCTCCCAAGTTCTCAGGCAGCAGGACGCTGCCTTGTCACGCCCATTTATGCTCATAAATTATGCAGTCAACCTCTGATGCTCGTTGAACCGAAGCAGGCAGTCGGCCACGCTCCTAGGCCATCGAAATGTTATTTCTCTCTCCCTTTGTGCTGCTGCTTTTTTTGTTGGGCCTTCTGTTGGGTTTTGCTCGAAGAAAAAGCGTTTGATCCTTTCCGGCTTAGCCGGGCCTAAAAGTACAGCTGCACGAAAATAAAATTAACAAAAAAGGAGCCGCAGAGACAACTTTAAATTTATTACAAAACCCGATAAAGGCCAAGTCCAAAGCGCAGAATTTGCGCATTTGCCGTTAACGCTGCTGAAGCTGCTGAAGGCGGAGTCCAAAAAGTCGACACAGCATCAAGCAAAGCATTTTTGTTTGGCCCTGGCATTAGTTTCTGTATTCAAATGTAATTCAATAAATAATTGCGAAGCTGCAGGCTGAAGAGAAGCATTTCGAAACACTTTTAGCAAAGGTAAAACTAATCCAAACTCAATTCTGAGATGTGCTAATTATGGCTACAAAAGTGCGTCCGAATGCTTAAAGAAAATAAGGAAAAGGGAAAGTTTGAACTGGCAGCATTGCTGTAAGTGTTGTTCCCCGGTTGTTGCCGCAGTGTAGCTGTTCTCCCGCTCCCCCTGCACATCCTTGGGGCACTGTGTCACTGCCAACCCCGGCCTAACGCGCCAGTCCAGTCCATTGAAAGTTTTGTTTTTCGTCGCAACAGGCACGTACACACACATGGATGTGATGGAATGGGGGCAAGTTTTGCACTATTTGCCTATGTAGATTTCGGCCAACAGTTCACATTTATTTGGGGGTGTTGAGCAAACAGCAATGAGAGCAGAAAGTCAAATTTTGGGACCTACGGCAGATCGGGTTTTGTATGAAATATGAGAGATATCCCTTGCTGGGGGGGGTTGGGTTCTATTTTCTCGCATGTAAATATGTTAAATTCATGATATTTAAATTAGTTAGCCAGCAGTTTTGGTCCTCTGGGTGGTCCCTTATGGTGCCTTAACCCGCTGCTGCCCCAAAAAGTAGGCAACACAAAAGGCAAACCCCCAAGCTGCCAGCTCCCGCTGCTGCACTCTCCGAACATTCAATTATAAGCCCGGCCTGAAAGCCTCGAATCTCTGCCGCTCTGTCTCCAGCTCATCTGCCATTAGCATTTCAAATGCCAAACATGACAGAGAGGGAGAGAGATCTCATCGGGCAGCAAACTTTTGCCATTTGCCTGCGAGCAGCAGTGGCAGTGGCAGTGGCAGTGGCAGTGGCAGCAAACGACAAACGACAAAGGGCAGCCAACAGCCCAAACAGGGGGAACAAACTTTTGCCATCATATATCTTGTCCGGGTGCTCCGATATGTGCGAGTGCTGCATATATTATAGCTATCTCTGTCTCTGTCTCTGTCTCTGTCTCTGCCCCTTCTGCCACTCCTTCCGCTCTTCTGGCAAAAACTGCGTGGCTGGTCAAGTAAATGAGTTTTCCTGTGGCTTTACCACTCCTCTGCGTGTGTTTTTGTGTGCTTAGACTTGGCCATTTGACAGATCAAAGACCCAACTAATACACAAGCAAACACACACACACATGGACACATGGACACGGATCGGATGCTGCAAAGGAAATTGATATTTAATTAAAGTTCACACACCGCTGCTCTCTGCTTTCTCCATTCAAATTCAGCCAAAAACATGCAAACATGGCAGCCGAATCATGAAGCTCTTTAAGTCAGCAGGCAGCAGCAGCTACTCGCGGAAGCTGGAGACAAACTTTATGACTTTTATCTACGCTCAAGTTTCGAAGCGCCACCCCATCATCAGTTTGAGTTTTTAAACACGCCCCACGGCCACGGCTGCATAAATATTTTCGCTGCCTCCGTGTCCGTGTCCGTGTCCGTGTCGGTGTCCGTGTCCGTGTCGGTGTTCGTGTCCGCCTCCGTTTCCTACTCTTTTGGGCGCGTGAAAACCTGAAACATGGCCATTTTTCATATAAATTTATTTGGGAGGCTGTTCGTGTTTCGTTTTTTGCCATGCTGAAAGGAGGAGCTGTAGTCGGTGGCTCGACATTTGCATATTTGCAGCCAAAGCAGCGCAACGCAAAAGTGTCATAAAAACCTCCACAGTCGAAAGAAATGAAGTCAAACAGCAGCAGCAACAGCGAGCGTTGGGTGTAGCGGTGCACAGTCTGGACAGATAAATATATAGGCAATAAAAATGTTCTACAAGAGCCACTGGCACGAGGACAGGCACAGACGACAGGGAGTGTACAGTTGACCAGCCTGGAACTTGGTAAAGTTTCAGCGATAAAGCGCATAGAAAACCAGCCAAGAGGAATGGCATTCGGTGTGCTGGGTCTGTGGGGGAATTCTACCTATTTTTATCACAGAGAACGAAGCAACCAAGCAGAGCCACATGAGCTGAGGATCTGCCATCCGCACAAGGAGCCACTCAAAGGATTGTGGCAAAAGAGAAGCAAACCAAAAGCTCCGCTCAGCCTCGTAAAATTTTGACACAATCCTCGATGGCCCGTCATCAACACTTTCATCATCAAATCCAACACGAAACGAAACGAAACGTTTACTTGCGAAATGGAAAATCTGTGATAAATATGCACCAGTTGTTATCCGTTCCATTCGGTGTGCCAGCCCCGCATATTTTCATTCTGTTGGCAAGGTTGGTCGTTGGTCGTGGATTTTTGCATAATGAAATTGGGAAACGACACACAAAGTGAGACGCGATGCCTACATCATCGAGTTACAAATTCGTTTACGTTCCGCGACTCCAGTTATGGCGTTCGTTCGCTCTCACAGACAGAGAGTTTTTTGCCCATTTTTTGTTGTGTATGTGTGCAGGGCTTTGTTTTTCGTGGCAGATTGCGTCAGATATTAAATTTATTTACGCGAAATTCGCACTTCGGGCACAAGGACCAAGCAACACACGAGAGAGCAAGCTGAGAAGTGGCTTCTATTTCCTGCCAATTTCCCTCTCTCCCTTACTCTCTCTCTCTCTCTCTCTCAATGACAGCCACATGATATAGGGCTCAAGTTTTTGGGGCACACACAGAAATAGCAGAGAGAGAGAGAGAGAAAGAGAGTTCGCTATAAATATCCATCTTACACAAATAGCCGAGAGTTTTGAGAGTGTCCTCCTCGAAAGTTTCACTTGCACTCCACGCTGCCCTCCCCAACGAATTGTGAATGAAGTTAACCTAATTTGATTTCATTTGGCATTATAATCCAATGCTGAAAAATAATGCATAAATCAAAAGGTTTCCATGAGTGGGCTGGCTTTTATCTTGGAAACCTTTTAGGAGGCTCGGCGAAGGGGAAGTTCTCTCCTCCGTAAAGGGAATTTTTGGTTTTACCAACTCAAAGGTGCAGCCAAAGAGGAGGATCCATGGGGATTATGTTTCGATTAGGCAATGGCCGAGAACCAAACAAAAAGAGCTGAGGGATCGGACTTGTTAGCCGCGGATCAGCCTCCTGGGCGGGGCAGAGTACGGCAACGGAATTTAAATGCTGCCATTGGATCGCTTAATTTATGGCCGGGGCTGCTGCTGCATCAAATATTTAAAAAGCGACAAAAAGTCGGCGAATATGACATGCATAAATACGCAGGACACATGCAGGATGTACAGGATGCATGTACAACATGCTGGGGCATAGAAAATGAAGCCAGCCAGAAGGAGAGAGGAGGAGAAGTGGTGGTGTTGCATGCAACGCATGACCATAAAATCTAAGAACAAGTTGAGCTTCGAGCACATCCTGTGGGAGCATCATCCTGTCGGATGTCTTTTGCAATTTGTATGATGACTGCCTGAAGAATTCCACTTGCTTGTTGCTCACCCTCTCCATCTCTCCATCTCTGCATCGCTCTGTCTCTCCTTGCAGACTGAATACTTTGGCATTGACAACAGGAGGAGGCATCGATACTGAGTGCCGACCGCGGACAATAGGATTCGGTAAGAAAACAACTTAAGTATTCAAGAGACTTGAGCATCCTTCTGGGTTGGTTGTCGAATGAATGGATGGGCGGGCAGCGAATTAATGGCTGGATGGAAGTGGGAGCGCGGAGGCTCTTCCCTTTTGGGGGGTTAATTAAAATACGGAATACACTTTGACAAAATGCCATTTAATCTACTCAGCAAAGCCTCGAAGCAGAAGCAGAAACAGAGACAGAAACAGCAAGAAAAAAAGCTGCCGGCAAATTAATTATGCGCATATTTGTGGCCTCACCAGCACCGACATCGACAACGAGAAAAACGACATCGACAAAGAGTAGATCCCAAAAAGGAAAGTGAGTGGTGGGGGGATAACAACCGAAAGAGAGGAGGGAAATCAAAAGAACAAGAAAAAGAACAAGCAAGACCAACAAAAAAAAAAAGAGGAGAAGAAAAAAAGGTTCATTGTGATTTGCATTTCCCCGGTCGGTTCTGTTCTGGTCTGCCATTTATGACAGATTTCTGTTACGACGCTCTCCGGCAACCCCGCTGCCAGGCAACCAGCTCTAATGCGATGGGCGGTGGGCGTTGAACGATAAGGAATGCCCCCCCCAGCCCAGCCCAGCTATTAATTACAACAACAATCTACTACTAATCAGTTGCCACTGGAGGAAGGAAGCGAGCGGCAGTGGCAGTGGCAGAGGTCGGGATTAAATCGTCTTCGGTGTTAAATGAGCCGCTGAGTCGCATAAACTTCCAAATGTTGACTGTACTTTTTGGTTAGAAAAAGGTAGCATCAGGCTGAAAGGTGGCGCTGAAAGCGGCAGGGTGGGGTGGACTTTCGGGTGAATTGAAAAACGGACTGGTGGGGGGAGGGGGAGTATGAATTTCAAGTGTCAGTGATGGTGAGGGGGAGTACACACAGAGTACAAGCCAATTATGCAAGCAGATGCCTGTTAATGCTAACTGTGCTGATCGTCCAGAATTGCATGCATAAACATGTACTTATGTGCAGATGTGTGTATGCATGCACGCACTTGCGCTGCTCGCAGGCAGCCAGCGAAGCAAAGTGCAGTTAGGCGGCGACGCTGAGAGCGTAACTCAGGCGCGCGCTCAGTGAGCTTTGCGTGCGTTTGTCTCTAGCGTCAGCAGGTAGCCGGCGACGCTGAGAGCGTAAGTCAGTTGCTCGTTCGCGTGCGTAAAAGCGAGATAGCAAACATGCACGTACCCATTTTTCAAGGTGGTGTTTTATAGCCACGCGCTCTCTTTGCGTGCGCTCTCTGCAAATATAGCTGCAGACTTTGCCGTTTGAGCGTGCATAAGAGCCGAAACTGAGCGCACACACCACCTTGTACGTTTGCTCGTACCTAAGCTAGGGATGGCAGTGCGATCACGCATTTGTCGATGTATTTAAATATAGTTGTAAGCACGCAGCAATCAACTTACCAATGATATATGATACCCATGATTAATGCAGTCTATTTTCCACCCATTTGAACTTCTTGCCTCTGTGCCGCCAGTAGAGATATCAATTAGCTGATGCCTTATTAATTCACAGCTCAATTCCGTTTACTTTCGATTCAATAAACAAGAGACAGAGAGAGGGAGAGGGTGAGTCGAGCATGTTATCCGATATCAAATATTTAGGCTGCGTTAATTGGCTCGCTGTGGATCTGTGCTGTGGTGGCTTCTGCATTATTAAATCAGCTTGAGCAACTAATCAAACTTATGCAATTATCGCCGCTGCTTATTCTATTTAATGCGCACAATCGCAAAAGCAATACCAGAACGAAACCACAACAACAACAAAGTATTACCAAATCCGACAGCAACAAACTTCAATTAAATTCGGTGGCTCCATATGGTTGGGAGCGGTTTTGGTAGGTGGTTTTTCATACAAATAATTCTCGTACACACAGAGCTGTGAAGCTGGGGTGTTCATTTTCATTTTGCAGAGCTTTCCGCACTTTCCGCACTTTGCACACTTTTCCCACTCGACGAAATGAAATTTGCACAAAAATCTCTAATTGCATTTTTGTTCCTTTCTGTGCCGCTGCGGCCTGGGAAATGTTTTGCACACTTTTGGCCAAAATATGCACCGACATTTGGCCATGCGATTCAGTCCGTTTGCCAAGCAGATCAAGTGGGTAGCACGCACATAATTGAAGATAAACACGGATGGATGGATATGCCTCATAATGCTAATGAACAGAACAGAACAGAGCAGAGCAGACAAAACGTAGAATGGCTTATAACATATGTATGTACATTCCGCCACTCGGAAATGTGGCAAGAGTAGAGATTTCCAGTTGTGTGCTGCCTGTGGGCGTTGCAGCTTCACTTTGCGTATGCAAATTCATTATAAATTCACCGTAGAACCATCGCATATAATAAATACGATGGCTTCGAGCTGCTAGCTCCCGTACATTTGTTCTATTAGGAAGCTTCTTGCAGTGGCTACCAGCGCGAAGTAGTACTAAAAATCCTTAAGAATTGCTACACAATTGTTGTATTTCAATGGAATTGTGCAACACAGCAATACGAGTACTTGAACAGCATCCAAAATTCTCAGCCCCTCGCCACGCTCCGTACAAAGCTGGGAAGGGGCAGAGGAAGGGCAGAGGAAAAAAAAGCGCGAAATTAATTTTTGAGTACGCTCGGACCATGAACGATGGACGAAGGACTTCGCTTCGCGGCAATAATAATAATAATAACTCACACAAATAAATATTGAAATGGAAAAATCGCTGGCCATATCAATGCTGCTGCTGCTGCTGCGGGCTGAAGGCTGAAGTCTGAAAGGGAGAGCGGGTGCGGGGTGCGGGTTGGCCCGTGTGCAGGGCCGGCAAATGAAAAGAGAGCTGAGGGAAATAAACAAAGCCAAAATGAAATGAACTGTAATCAATTCTGAGTTCGAGAGAGAGAGAGAGAGAGAGTGGGAGAGACGCTGGAAGACAGAGAGCAGAGGCAGCGACTTTGGCAGCGACAGAGGTGGAAGCAGAGCCAGAGGTAGAGATGTTCCCGCAACGATAATATGCCAAGCAATTTATGGCAAGGTCCTTCCGCCCCTGCACAGGCCAAGCCAATTATGAACATTTTGTGCTGTTGAAAATACAACAACAACAAAAAGAAACCACAAGCCGAAAAGAATAAATATATAAAAATAAATAAATGTAAATGTAAATGAAATGAAATAAAAGTGGACCCGAACCGCAAAGGTAAAAGAAGAGAATTATTAAGCTTCGTGTGGGGGAGGGGTGTGGGCTCAAATATATATTATATTATATTCTTTTTTGGTTGTTGCTTTGACCAGCCTGCCTGTTGGCACACTTGCCTCTTCGTCTTCTTCGTCGCTCTTTAGGGGCTTCACCGCTTTTGCTTTTTTTTTTGTTTTTTTTTTTGTAATTTTTAATTTTTAATGCCCTTTGTAAAAGTTTCTTTTTAACGATTCAACTTTTTGTTGGCTTTTTCCTTTCAATTTGGCCAGCGCCAGTGAATTGTATGCTGCGAAAACTAGTTTGGGTCCACCCTAGAGCCTACCCTCATGTCTCGTGCCTCGCTCTGCCACTGCCAGCCAGCCTAATAATAACCAGACGAAAAGTATTTTGCGGTCTGCTTCTAGTTGTATCTTCATTGAACTGGCAACTCATTTGCACGTTCAACGCTGCCCACTGGCCATGTACGGAGAATATGTAATTATGTATGTAAATGTGTACATAGAATGTATTTAAGTGCTGCTGCCAGCGCGGCGCCTTTTTTTTTGGCGCACACTCGATCCAGAACGTTAATTAATTGCATTCAATTTAGTTGCGGTTTCTGCCCATTCCTCTCTGCGATAGTTTACATATTTACATTGCCAGATTCAAAAGTTGCCGCCAAAATGAAGTTATTGTGGGAAAAGCAGCATTTAGGCGGAGTTCAAGCCGACTAGCACATACCCTGCAGCCTCGTTTCTGTCACAGGCAGGAAATGAAATTATTGATTCAGGAACCAGCAGAGCGAGAGAGCGAGAGAGGTAGAGGCTGGAGCGACATTGAGAGACATGAGAACAGGCGAGGAAATAAGAAATTGAAAGCCTTCTCCGTCAACTGGAGCATGAAAATGAAAGGCAGACACACCGAGAGAGAGAGAGAGAGAGAGAGAGAGAGAGAGGGAGAGTGTGTGTGTGGATGGGTGGGGGCATGCCACAAAATCCCAGGAAGCTGTTGCCAATGCAGCTGATGCCAGGCGTTCTGTCTTCTCCGTGTCGGTGTGCGTGTGCGTGCGGCTCCTGTTGCCGACTGTTGCACGTTTCCTGTCTGCCAGTACGTGCCACACACACGCGAACACATCAAAAGACAAACGAGTTGCCGCTGCATATTATTGAATTAAATGTGGGGGACGACGTGGAGTGTTACCATACATTTGATGAGCAAGGCGGACCCGCCAATTTATTGGCCATTGTATTTTGGCCCATGCGCTGTACTCGAGGCAATACGTTGGCCACAGAACAGCACAGAACGGAGCAGCCTTTTCGCAGTTCTCAATCTTGTTCCGCTTCGATTGCCCTGCGGCTGCTGCCGGGCAGGCCTCTGCCAGTTATCTGTGGGCAGCCTTCTGCTACTGGTACTGAAACTGCTTTCGGCTGTCCCATCGGCAATTTCAGTGTTCAGCCGGCAGTTGCTTTGACTAATTTGTGCCTGACGGAGGGAGTCGCTCGATTGTGGCCCGTATTCAAATGAATATGCGTCCCAGCGCTGGTGTTGCTCCTCCTCGTGCTGCTGCTGGCCGTCATATTGGTCTATTTAATTGTAGCCAATACACGGGAACTGGCACTGGCAGCGCTTTAGGTCTAATGAAGTTTCCCCGCGGTGGAGCAGCAGCAAAACAAAGAGCAAGAAAAGGAAGAGGGAAAGGGCTGTGGGGCTGTGGGGCTGTGGGGTGTGTGCAGCACCGAACAGCAGTTGCCTAGGACCCTCATTTATTCTCACTTTAATCAAAGTGTATGGCAACGAGGCAGCAACGATGGCGGGGGCCCGGTG